GGGGGGAGAGAGAGGGAGAGAGAGGGAGAGGGAAGGGGGGAGAGAGGGGGAGAGGGAGAGAGAGGGAGGGAGAGGGGGAGAGAGAGATAGGAACATCTTGAGTGAGTGTGGAATGGGAGAGAGGGAGAGGGAAGAGGGGAGAGAGGGGGAGAGGGAGAGAGAGGGAGAGGGAAGGGGGGAGAGAGGGGGAGAGGGAGAGAGAGGGAGAGGGAAGGGGGGAGAGAGGGGGAGAGGGAAGGGGGGAGAGAGGGAGAGAGAGGGAGAGGGAAGGGGGGAGAGAGGGGGAGAGGGAGAGAGAGGAACGAATTCTGGTCCGCGCTGGTGGAGAAGGCCTATGCTAAGTGAGCATTAAGTCTTTTTGGCTTTTAATTTCCATTTTAATTATTTATTTGTTTATTTATTTATTTATTTTGGTTACTTGATCTCGAGAGGAAGTGAGTGAATTTCTCTTTCTTTCTCTCTTTACCTCCCACTCTCTCCCTCTCCCTTTCCCTCACTCTCTCTCCTCTCTCTTCCTTATTACTCATTTCTCTCTCTCTCTCTCTTTCTCTCTCTCCCTTTCCCTTTTCCTCTCTCTCTCTTCATCTCCCTTCCTCTCTCCTCTCCCTTCCTTATTACTATTCTCTCTCTCCATCTCCCTCCTTCGTTATCACTCTCTCTCTATCTCTCTCTGTCTCTGTCTCTCTCTGTCTCTCTCTCCTTCCCTCCCTCCCTTATCATTCTCTCTCTCTCTCCTCCCCATTCCCTTCGTTATAACTCATCTCATTCTCTCTCTCCCCCCTTCTCCCCTCCCCCCCCCCCCCGACAGATACCTTCTGGCACAACCCCCAGTACAGGATCACGCTGACGGAGGTTGATGACGACGACGATGACAATAAGTGCACAGTCATCGTGGCGCTGATGCAGAAGAACAGGAGATCGCAGCGGAAACTGGGTCTCGAGTGCCTCACCATCGGCTTCGCTATCTATCACGTGAGTTTTGCCGTCTATCACGTGGGGTTTGCCATCTATCACGTGAGTTTTGCTGGCTAGCACGTGGGGTTTGTCATCTATCATGTGAGTTTTGCTGGCTAGCACGTGGGGTTTGTCATCTATCACGTGAGTTTTGCCGTCTATCACGTGGGGTTTGTCATCTATCACGTGAGTTTTGCCGGCTAGCACGTGGGGTTTGTCATCTATCACGTGAGTTTTGCTGGCTAGCACGTGGGGTTTGTCATCTATCACGTGAGTTTTGCCGTCTATCACGTGGGGTTTGTCATCTATCACGTGAGTTTTGCCATCTATCACGTGAGTTTTGCCGTCTATCACGTGGGGTTTGTCATCTATCACGTGAGTTTTGCCATCTATCACGTGAGTTTTGCCGTCTATCACGTGGGGTTTGTCATCTATCATGTGAGTTTTGCCGTCTATCACGTGGGGTTTGTCATCTATCACGTGAGTTTTGCATCTATCACGTGAGTTTGCCGTCCTATCACGGGGGGTTTGTCATCTATCATGTGAGTTTTGCCGTCTATCACGTGGGGTTTGTCATCTATCACGTGAGTTTTGCCGTCTATCACGTGGGGTTTGTTATCTATCACGTGAGTTTTGCCATCTATCACGTGAGTTTTTTTTTTGGGGGGGAAAGGTGTTTGTAATCTGTCACGTGAGTTTTGTCATCTATCTCGTGGGTTTTGAAGTCTATCATGTGAGTTTTGTTATCTATCACATGGGTTTTCCTGTCTATCACGTGGGTTTAGGGGGGGGAGGGTGTTTGCAATCTGTCACGTGGGTTTTGCTATCTATCACGTGAGTTGAGAGGGGGAATGTTAGCTTTTAGTTAGCTTTTAGCTTTGCAATCTATCATGTGAGTTTTGCTATCTATCACGTGAGTTTTGAAGTCTATCATGTGAGTGAGTTTTGGTGTTTGCAATCTGTCGAGTGAGTTTTTTCGACTTGGTGTTTGTTGAGAGAGTTTAGGGGGGAACATAGATTTTTTTTTCGACTCTGGTGTTTGCAGTCTGTCAAGTGAGTTTAATCAGGACGGAATTTTTTTTATCCTAAATTTGATTAATTTTTCACTCTGTATCTACTCATTTGATATATTTATCTCTATTTGCCTCCCGTTTTTACTTACTAACTATTCATTTTGATTCAATTTTTCACTCATAATTCACTCGCTTCCCTTTTTTACTCACTAGCTATTCAGCTTGATTTATTTTTCACTCTCGTATCTGCAGACTTTGACGTAATAATTCACTCGTCTCAATTTGCCTCCTCTTTTTTACTCAATAATAATTCAGTTTTATCTGCTTTTCATTCTTGTATTTGCAAACTTTGACGTAATTCCCTACTCTCATATCTACTCAATCTGACTTACTCATTCACGTGTCTCAATTCGTCTTCCCTTTTTACTCAATAATTATTCTGTTTATTTTTCACCCTCGTATCTGCAAATCTTGATGTAATTACTCACTCACCTCCCTTTTTGACTCACTAAGTATTCAGTTTGATCTATTCTTCACTCGCGTATCTTCACAATTTGACGTAATTATTCACTCGTCTCAATTCGCCTCCCTTTTTGACGCGTTAACATACGGTTTGATTCATTTTTCACTTTCGTATCTGCAAACATTGACTCACTCATTGACAATATATTACTCACTACCTATTCATTTTGATTTATATTTCACCCTCGTATCTACAAACTTTGACGTAATTACTCAGCCGTCTCAATTTGCCTCTCAAATTTACTCACTATCTATTCGTTTTGATTCAATTTTCACTCTCGTATCTGCAAACATTGACTTACTCACTGACTATTTTAATCACTACCTATTCGTTTTGATTTATATTTCACTCGTATCTACAAACTTTGACGCAATTACTCACTCACCTCAATTTGCCTTACAAATTTACTCACTACCTATTCGTCTTGATTTATTTTTCACCCTCGTATCTGCAAACATTGACGCAATTACTAACTCGGCTCCCTTTTTGACTAAGGATTCAGTTTGATCTATTCTTCACTCACGTATCTACAAACATTGACGTAGTTGCTCACTGTCATATCTACACAACTTGACATAAATTACTCACTGTCATATCAACACAATTTGACGTAATTACTCACTGTCATACCTAAACAATTTGACGTAATTACTATGTCATACCTACACAATGTAACGTAATTCCTGTCATACCTACACAATTTGACGTAATTACTCACTCCTTTCCCCCCCCCCCCCCCCCACAGCTCCGCGACCCAGAATCGGCCCCAAGGCCTCTCGATGCCAGTTTCTTCAAGTACACAGCCTCCGTCGCCAGGTCCCCCTCCTTCATCAACATGAGAGAGGTCTCGTGCCGTTTCAAGCTCCCTCCTGGCACGTACTGCATCGTCCCCTCCACGTTCGAGCCTAACGAGGAGGGAGAGTTCATCCTTAGGGTGTTCTCCGAGAAGTCCAACGAGATGGAGTGAGTTGGGGGGAAGAGGGAGAGAGAAAAAAAGAAAGAGAGATGAGAGAGAGATGAGAAAGAGAGAGAGAGAGAGAAAGAAAGAGAGAGAGAGAGAGAAAAAAAAAGAAAGAGATGAGAGAAGAAGGGAGGGAAGGAAGGGAGAGAGAGAGAGATGAGAATGAGAGAGAGAGAGAGGGAGAGTGAGAGAGGATAGAAAGAGAGAGAGAGAGAGAGAGGAGGGAGAGTTTATCCTTAGGGTGTTCTCCGAGAAGTCCAACGAGATGGAGTGAGTAGGGGGGGGGAGAGGGAGAGAAAGGGAGGGAGGGAGAGAGAGAGAGAAGGGGGAGGGAGAGAGAGAGAGAATGGGGGAGGGAGAGAGAGAGAGAATGGGGGAGGGAGGGACAAAGAGAGAGAGAGAGAGAGAGAGAGAGAGGGGGGGAGAGAGAGAGAGAGAGGGGGGGGAGAGAGAGAGAGAGAGAGGGGGGAGAGAGAGATAGGGAAGGAGGAGGGAGGGAGGGGGGGGAGAAAGAGGGAGAGAGAGGAGGGAGAGTTCATCCTTAGGGTGTTCTCCGAGAAGGCCAACGAAATGGAGTGAGTAGGGGGGGGAAGGGGGAGAGAAAGGGAGGGAGAGAGAGAGAGAGAGAAGGGGGGAGGGAGAGGAAGGGAGAGGGTAGAGAGTGTGAGAGGGGGGAGAGACAGAGAGATAGAGAAAGAAGAGAAAGAGAAAGACAGATAGATAGACTGAAAGAGAGAGAGAAAGAGAGATAGAGAAAAAAAGAGAGAGAGAAAGAAAAAGAGAGAGTGAGAGAGAGAAAGAGAGAGAGAGAGAGAGAGAGATAAAGGGAGAGAGAGAGGAGAGAGAAGAGAAAAAGAGAGAGATAGACAGATAGATAAATACAGAGAGAGAGAGAAAGAGATAAAGATATAGAGACAGAGAGAGAATGTGTGAGTTTTATCAACTACTTAACATTTTTAAAATGATAAAAAAAAAAAATCATACAATGCAACAGAAAAAAAAATATATATATATAGCATGAAAATAATGTATTCATTTTTAGGAATAATTAATTAATATTATCTAATTAATATTATCTTCATCTTCGCAGAGAAAATAATTTATGAAATAAATTAATAAATAAAATAATAAATTAATTTATAAAATAATTTATAATAATAATAATAATAAATAAAACAATGCAACAGAAAAAAAGCAGATATAGAAAAGAAATTAAAGAATTCATTTTTTTAGGAATATTATCAAATTAATATTAATTTTCATCTTCGCAGAGAAAACGACGAAGAAGTTGGACTTGGCGAAGTTGATGAAAGGGTAAGTAAAAGAAAAGAAAAGAAAGAAAGAAAGAAAGAAAGAAAGAAAAAGACAAAAAGAAAAAAAAATATATATATATATGTAGAGAAAAAAATATATGTCTGTGTAGATACTTACATGTACGTTTATTTGTATATTTATGTATTTTTTATTTTAGTTTTTATTTTTTTTTTTTTTATAGGAATGCATGGCTACGCTCGATTTTTTTTTTTTTTTTTTTTTTTTTTTATATATATCTTAGAATTTTTTTTAATTTAATTATTATTCTAATTATTAAATATTAACATAATTATTAATTTAAATATTGAATTTTTATTTATTTATTTAATGAGTTTACAATTTTTTTCTATTAATTGAGCAATTTTTTTATTTCTATTTATTTATTTATTTTTTATTTATTTATTTTTTTATTTGAGATAGATTATCCATTTACAATATATTAATGCAATATATTATGCATTGTCCATTATCAATTGATTAAAAATTAAATATAAATTTTTTATCAATTTATATTAATTATTATTATTATTATATATTATTTTTATCATTATTATTATTATTATTATTATTATTATTATTATCCTTCATTATTATTATTATATTATTCCTCAATTAACTATATCATTTAAAAAATTAATTCATATATAGATTATTCCATTTTTTATTGTATTATTTTTATCACTATCTATTATTTGCTTATTAATAATATTATTCATATTATTTCTCATTAAATTCTCAAGTTTATTATAAGAATTAAACTTTAAAGTTATTTAGAATTAAGAATTGATTATTATTATTATTAACATTATTATTGCTGCTATTATTATTATTGTTATAATAACTATTATTTTTTATTATTATTATTACTGTTATTGCTATTATTATTATAATTATTTTGAGTATTATTACTATTATTATTATTATTTTTATTATTATTATTATTTTAATTATTTTTATTTTTATTATTATTTCTATTATTATTATTATTATCATCTCTATTATCATTATTATTTCCATTATTATTATCATTATTATTATTTCTATTATTATTATCATTATTATTATTTTCATTGCTATTATTATCATTATTATTTTGAGTATTATTATTATCATTATATTTGTTATTGCTGTTGTTATTATTATTATCATTATTGTTATTATTATTATTATTATTATTATCATTATTATTTTACTTTCAGTATCTTAGTTTCTTTTGCTAAAAATAGTAATTTTCTCTCACTTTTCAATATATTTTTTTAAAGGCTGTAAATAAACTGCTTCTTCAATTTTTTTATTTTTTCAATTTAACAATAATTTAACTATAATTTAGTGCTTATATTTTGTGCATGGATGTTAATATATCTCTTGTGGCTTTTAGATTCAGAAGAGAGATGTTTTATTTAGAGTTTATTATTAATAAGATCTGTTTAGGTTTAGTCTGTGCTTCTGCGCGTCTGTTTCTTCTCTTTCTTTCTCTTTTTTTCTTTTCTCTGTTTCTGTTTCTTTTTCTCTTTTTCTCTTTTTTTCTTTTTCTCTTTCTTTCTCTCTCTCTTTCTCTGTCTCTCTCTTTCTCTTCTCTCTCTCTCTGTCTTTCTCTCTCTCTCTCTGTCTTTCTCTCTCTCTCTGTCTTTCTCTCTCTCTCTGTCTTTCTCTCTCTCTCTGTCTTTCTCTCTCTCTCTCTCTCTCTCTCTCTCTCTCTCTCTCTCTCTCTCTCTCTCTTACTCTTCCTTCTTTCCTGCCTCTGTTTCCATATTTGTATATATAATTTATTCTTTCATTTTTCTTTAAACATTTTTATCATCTCTCTCTCTCTTTCTCTCTCTCTTTATTTCTCTCTCTGTCTCGCTTAAGCAACGAAGGAGAAAAATACCAAGTATTCGACTAATAGCATTTATTGTGAAATGGGTAGGTTAAATCGTACATCGTTATTTTACGCACATATTACGCACGTAACAAATATCACGTCTAATACGCACATGGCAGATGCATATGTATGTATGTTTGTATACAAGCATAGATGCACGTGGATGTGTATGTTTGTTTGTATACGAGCATAGATGCACATGGATATGTACGTATGTTTGTATATGAGCATAGATGCACATGACAGATGCATATGTACATATGTTTGTATACAAGCATAGAGGCATATGGATATGTATGTATGTTTGTATACACGCATAAATGCACATGTACATGTACGCATGTTTGTATACAAGCATAGATGCACATGGACATGTACGTATGTTTGTTTGTATACGTGTATGTAATAATTCATTGTGTACACCTATAAGAAGGCATACATGCCCATGCGTATGTCATGGCATGGCAGACGTAAAGATACAGATACACACATAAGCATACACAAAATTCACAAGATTGCAAAATTCTGTACAATAAAAGATGTACGTATGTTGCGAAATTCTGTACAGTAAAAAATAGATGTATTTTGCGAAATTTTGTACACAAAAAAAAATATATGTATTTTGTGAAATTCCAAACAATAGAAAAATACGTATTTTGCAAAATTCTACACAATTAAAAATACTTATTTGACGATATTCTATACAACATATTTTTCAAGTTATATATCTTTTGTAAAATACCATAGTTTATTATAAATTTTTGAAGTTATTTAATAGTTATGAATTATGAAGTTATTAGATAGTTATCTTTCATAAGATAGTTATGCGCCTCGATCTTTAGGTCAAATATACGCTGCCTGTGTCTGTTTTACGAGGATTTACTGTACACATCTACTGTACACATTTTCATACACACATGATTAGTTCAAAAGGGGTTGGTAGTCCTGTTTCTCGGTCTGTCTGTCTGTCTATCTGTCTGTCTCTCTCTCTGTTTCACTCTCTCTCTTTCTCTCTCTTTCTTCCAGCCTTTCTCTCTCTCTCTCTCTTTCTTTCTCTCTCTCTCTTCTCTCTCTCTCTCTCTCCTCTCTCTCTCTCTCTCTCTCTCTCTCTCCCTCCCCCATTCCCTCCTTCTCTCTCTCTCTCTCTCTCTCTCTCTCTCTCTCTCTCTCTCTCTCTCTCTCTTCTCTCTCTCTCTCTCTCTCTCCCATTCCCTCCTTCTCTCTCTCTCTCTCTCTCTCTCTCTCTCTCTCCCTCTCCCTCTTTCTTTCTCCCGCCCTCTTTCTTTCTCTCTCTCTTTCTTTCTCTATTTCTCTCTCCCTCTTTCTTTCTCTCCCCCTCTCTCTCTCTCTCCCCCCCCCCCCTCTCTCTCTCTCTCTCTCTCTCTCTCTCTCTCTCTCTCTCTCTCTCTCTCTTTCTCTCTCTTTCTCTCTCTTCTCTCTTTCTCTCTCTTTCTCTCTCTCTCTTTCTCCCCCTCCCTCCCTCTCTCCCTCTCTCTCTCTCTCTCTCTCTCTCTCTCTCTCTCTCTCTCTCTCTCTCTCTCTCTCTCTCTTTCTTCCAGTCTTTTTTTCTCTCTTTATCTCTCTCTTTCTCTTCCAGTCTCTCTCTCTCTCTCTCTCTCTCTCTCTCTCTCTCTCTCTCTCTCTCTCTCTCTCTGTCTCTCTCTCTCTCTCTCTCTCCCATTTCCTCTTTCTCACCCGTTCTCACCATGCACGCAGGGAGACGAAGAGGAGAAGGAGGAGGTAGGTGGCGTTGCAAAGATAGCTTGCATATGTTGCATATATAGGCGTTGCATATATTAACGCCATTGATATTATTGTTGTCGTTGTTTTTTTTTTTTTTTTTTTTTTTTTTGTCGTCTTTTTTACGTTCTTCTTGTGGGTTTTTATGCGTCTTTGTTTTTAAGTTGTTTGTTTGTGTGTGGGTTTTTGTTTTATTTTGTTTTATTTTTATTTTATTTTTTGTCTTGTTTATGGGTTATCGTGTTTTATTGTTTTTATTTTATTTTTTTCGGTTTATTGTTTTTTTGTTGTTTATTTTGTCTTGTTTATGGTTTATCGTGTTTTATGCGTCGTTTTTTTGTTTTTGTTTTTTATCTCTACTTCCTTTTAAAAAAAATTTGTATATTGTCTTATGATTCAGTTTATTATGTGTTTTCTTTCTTGCATATGTTGCATATATAGGCGTTGCATATATTAACGCCATTGATATTATTGTTGTCGTTGTTTTTTTTTTTGTTTTTTTTATTTGTCGTCTTTTTTACGTTCTTCTTGTTGATTTTTATGCGTCTTTGTTTTTAAGTTGTTTGTTTGTGTGTGGGTTTTTGTTTTATTTTGTTTTATTTTTATTTTATTTTTTGTCTTGTTTATGGGTTATCGTGTTTTATTGTTTTTATTTTATTGTTTTCGATTTATTGTTTTTTTGTTGTTTATTTTGTCTTGTTTATGGTTTATCATGTGTTTTATGCGTCATTTTTTTTTTTTTTTTTTTTTTTTTCTCATATTTTATCTCTACCTCCTTTTTTTATTTATTTTTTTTTTTTTTGTATATTGTCTTATGATTCCCTGTTTATCATGTGTTTTCTTTCCCTACGTCTTGAATTTTATTGAATTATTCTCGTTTTTGTCTTTCAAATTTTTAGACAAATTTCCTACGTCATAATTTTTTTTATTATTGTCTACTCTTCTTCCTTTTCTTGAATTATTCCAAGTTTGTCTATTTCGTATTTATCACTCCCTTTTCTATATCTTTTTTTTATTATTATCTTCTCCCTTTTTCTTCCTTTTCTTTAATTATTCCAATTTTGTCTATTTCGTATTTATCACTCCCTTTCCTATTTCATTTATTTATTATCTCTTCCTCCTTCTTTCTCTTTCTCCTCCTTTCTTTCTTCCTCCTTTTTAAATTTCTTTTCTTGAATTTTTTCCTTTTTTCCAATTTTCGTAAATTTTGGAATGAGTCCGTATCCCTCTTTCTCTTTTTTTTTTTTTTTTTTTTTTTTTTAATATATATATTTTGATTGATTTTATTTCTATTTTATTTATTTATTATTAACGTTCTGTATTTTATTGTTGTTTTTTTTCCTTTGTGATTGTTATTTTGTTATTGTTGTTGTTGTTATTATTATCATTATTATCATTAATTTTATCATTATCATTATTATTGTTTTTATTTTTATTTATATTGTTATTCCTTGCTAACTTTCTTGATTGTTTTAATCGTCTTTGTTTTTTTTTTGTTTTTTTTTTTGGATTGGAAATGATAAACTTTTATCAGTCTGTCTATCTATCTATCTATCTATCTATCTATATCTATCTATCAATCAATATAGATTTTATTTACCATATCAGTCTATCTATCTATCTATCCATCT